TATTCGCGGAATTGATCTCATTAAAATTGTAACAACTCAATCAGTTTTTAAAATTTTTGCATGAAATTTTCGGAATCGACTCGAAATCGCATTTCCACCTTATTTTGAGAACGGATTTTCGATTTAGGCCTCCAAAAATATTTGGCGGCCAAATTCTGAATTTTGCTGAGCATATAGTTACCACTGTTACTATAGCTTTTGGCCCATAGATTGATCAAATTCCAATATTTATGAATATATAATAACATAAACGAAAGAGCACCTAACGAGGCTCAGCAAAGTGGGCCTATCCGACCGTTTGGCATCATAACGTGACAAACAGTAAAGCTTGATAGGCCGGTGTATTGTCATCACTGCGGAGCACATGTCCTATCATCGTCCATAGGGCCTTCTCCAGTCTCCACGGATGAGACTAACTTTATAAGAAAGGTACACCTAAACTACATATTGTCTGTGATATAGCTCAAATCAGTCGAAAATCATTATATACTGTAGCTGTGCTATACATCATTATCTGAGATAAAACTGTTCTAAAAGCAACTGGAACAAAATCTTAAAAATATTTACAAACTAGGGAAGGGAAATAAATCTAAAAGACAGATCTGAGTATAAAACATAATGAATGAATGTATTTACAGACTATTGAAGACTATTAAAGAGAACATATCTTGTGTATTAGTGAGGTATAACAGCTAGATATAAATATAGGTAGATACATTAGCAGCCTATATCTACCGTTACAGTTCGCTATTACACGTCATACTCCATATACTACTATACTGGAGTAACAATATCTGTACTCAATACACTAAGTTATTGTCTCTATAATCAGTGCCTACCTGGTAACTTTAGTTCCTTGTTCTTAGCGATACACACTATAATACCTTATCGGACCTTATTTGGACGGACATTACTTGAACGCTGGAGGCCCTAGCGTTCATCTTAATGTCCATTCAAATAAAGTCCGTTCATATTATGTCCGTCCAAGTTAAAGTCCGTTGAAATTTTTTCAAAAATTTTTCCATTTCGAACTTTTTGTCCAGAATATGACAACTTTGAGAACTTGATTGTGCCGTAAGTTAACGATGGAAAGGTTCTCCTTGGTCTGCCGGAGGCACAGAAAATTCTACTAGTATATAATGTTTTCAAGGGTCACTTGGCGGAAAAAAGTCAACGAAATTATGGCACTCAACAATATAGTTCATGAACTAGTCCCCGCCAACATGACAAACTTGTTCCAGCCTCTAGATATTACGGTAAATCGTGTTTCCAAGGACATTGTCCGACGTTGTTATAGTTCATATTACTCAGGGGAGGTAATGGAACAGTGCTAGGAAAGCTTTATGTTAAGGTTAACCTTAAGTTGTCTAAGATAAAACCACTTCACGCCGAATGGTTTGTAAAAGTTAACACTGAAATGCAGGACCGGGGTAGTTTGATAAAAAAGGTTTCAATAAAGCTAGAAATCACTGATGCTTTAAGCATGGACTATTTCATGCACGAAAACCCATTTGATGAAGATGATATGTGATATTAGACACTGATCATGTACATATATTTTAACATTTTTACTGCTCAATGACTGCTTTTCTTACTTACTGTATAAAAAATGGATTTAAAAATCATTTGCTGAAATTTAAAAAACGTCAAAAAAATTGAAAAAAATTCGGATTTTTGATGGTTTTGAATGCCTTCGAGCGTTCATATTAATGTCCGTTCATAATTATGTCCGTTTATGTAATGTCCGTCCAAATAAGGTCCGATAAGGTATATACTACTCAGGGAGTGTCTGTGTACCTACCTAGGGACTGTGAAGCCGGATGGTTTTTAAGTGTTCAGTAGCTGTGTAATTAGTAACGGTTTTTGAGAAGTAGTATTAGTGCTTCTTTAATCTTCATTCTCATTTTTACATCGTAAAAACAATGTTGCGATCGTTATTTCTGGCTTTAACAAGTGCTAAATGTCTACTAGTTTACTAGAGCAATCATTTACTAGTAGTAGTAATATTAACTAGTAGTAGTAGTAATATTTACTAATCGCTTATTACAGCCGCCGTTTCGTAGACTTGATTAAAAATTGACTGGTTTCTATCATGATTCATAAAGAGCAAACAAGTGCTGGAGTATAAACATTATTATAGGGTCCAACGCTGCGTCACTCTATTACGGCTGTTTATCAACGTGCAGTATTTATTATTTATAATAATTACTCAAGTTCTTTTCGCCTTTACCCCTGCTACTTTGTTAGGAAACCTACTTCCTGGGGGACTTCAAGACTAGTAACTTGGTGAGCAGCAGTTCCTACTATTATTATTCAATGTTAGGTATCTGGGTTCTTTTGCCATTTGCGATAGTCTAAGCGCTAGTTGGCGCCTGATCGCGCCATCTGGCGCTATCTAGTGCTAGTTACTCAGTTAGCGCCAGCTATGCGACATTGTCAAATGTGCGTTTTATGTGTCCCACGTAGTTAACTAGTTGTATACACACAATATACCATTGAAATTTTTTGGCTGCGTCGAATATAGTATTTTGACCAGTATGAAGAAGTAAAAAATTGGCCAAGAAAATAAGAACTTAAGGTCCCGAAATGACCACTACTTTGGGCTTAGCCGGGTTCCTGCTAGTATACCTAACATATCATTATCAGGAGAACGATTGATTATTTCCTTTTGTTCTAAGCTCTATACGATGCCCTTAACATCAGCTGAAAAACACTGCAGCTATCTATATATATATATATTTCTTAGAATGAAGTTACCTGGGGATCCCAGGCTATTATGTTTATAAACATAAAGATTCGGCGGAATGATGCGCCGCCCAGTAAAGAATGAAGGTGATCATCATATTATTCCTCACGTTATAGACGACCTGAAAGCCAGATAGTAATTATATATCGACTACCTGAACTTATCAATAGACAGCTGAACAAAAGCCGTGCTCATTGTTATAGTGCACATTTGTCTGTGGATCGTTAGTAGGTGGTCCTTCTTTTTCTTGTGGACGTTTTTTCCTAGACACGACTTTAAACATTTCGCTTGTTAAAATTAGTTGCTGGTTTGATAACAAAAGGAAGAGTGGCGTAACGTTACTGATCAGTTGTATAATGTATATAGTTATATATAGTTGTATTTATAGCATACGCATACAAGTGGTTTGTATTTTTATCAATAACTTCTTTACGCATAGTTAGTCGTTAGTTAGGACTCTATTCTCTCTATGATTCTCTCTGTGGATTTTCTCTATAATAATTAATTTTAAAATAAATCCACGCGTATCAACATGAAATAAATCCACGCGTATCAACATGAACAAGTTGTAGGAGAATCGTTATTTTGAATTAACTAATTATGTTAATAATATTGATCAATTATCAATCTTTACATTCTTATATTTTTGCTTATCACCATTTGAAGATAAGTTTCTCGCATTTCACTTCTTCTTGAGGCTTGTTCCTGGGACTATGGAAAAGACATTTCTGCACATAATAATGACTAATTAGTTCCCAGATGGTTCTATAATTACTAAAAGAGCTATTCACGCGAATAAAAGTTGAAGTTTTGTATCGATAATTGTTCATCGAGCAACGTGAACGGAATTAAATAAGACAATAGAAATACACCTGGAAACTCCTGTGGCATGATAACATGCAACGCTTTATATAATCAACTCTATATACTGCTATCATTTCCATTATCAGTTTCTATGATAATGCCGATTGCCGCTCCCAATTATTCTATGTCAATTGTTGTTAGTTCTTTAAAATCTCGGTTTTTAATTTCAATCTTTTCTTTCTTATCACGTTTTGTGTGGTAACATAATGACAGGTAGTACTAGTAGTAGCAGTATATTGTAGACAGGTAGTACTAGCTCTTTGTTTTGCTTTCTACTTTATAGGGCAAAATGCATTTCTTGAGTTTTTAATAAAACATACAAAATACGATCAACATTAATAAATGATAGCACTAATAGTAAAACTACATTTCCCTGCTCTTTGTTTTGCTTTCTACTTTATAGGGCAAAATGCATTTCTTGAGTTTTTAATAAAACATACAAAATACGAACAACATTAATAAATGATAGCATTAATAGTAAAACTACATTTCCCTGCTCTTTGTTTTGCTTTCTACTTTATATACTTTATACAGCTCTTTGTTTTGCTTTCTACTTTATAGTAGTACTAATACTTTTAAGGGCTCTATTAATAATTGGGAAGTTCTTATCCACCACACAGAGAGTATTTTAATAATTGGTAAGTTCTACTTATAGGAATCTAATCTAATCTGTACTTACAGTACACTATGTTGTACACGCAATGGTAGACATAGTTGATTGCCTCTGAAAGGTCTTACTATATTATATAAAGCATTATATAAAGCATGGATACTAAAGTATTGATTAGGCAATTATTATTATGGATATTTACTAGCAGTATTACTTTGTTCATGCTACTACTACTAGTAGTAGTAGTAGTAGTAGTAGTAGTAGTAGTAGTAGTAGTAGTAGTAGTAGTAGTAGTAGTAGTAGTAGTAGTAGTAGTAGTAGTAGTAGTAGTAGTAGTAGTAGTAGTAGTAGTAGTAGTAGTAGTAGTAGTGGTAGTAGTAGTAGTAGTAGTAGTAGTAGTAGTAGTAGTAGTAGTAGTAGTAGTAGTAGTAGTAGTAGTAGTAGTAGTAGTAGTAGTAGTAGTAGTAGTAGTAGTAGTAGTAGTAGTAGTAGTACAAGATCATGTTAAAGGCTGTTGAAAAGTTTTTGATCCAGTTTTTCGAGCATATGTTAAAATCTTAAAGTCTACTGTATTTAAAATATCAGGATAATAATAATAATCATATTTTATACATTATTCATATTTTATACATTGTGTGCATATATTTATATTTGATTGTAATTAAAGATTTTAAGGTGTTAGTGCCGAGTAATGCCTTTGGGTAGTGCTTCTCAATCAATCAAGCTTTGTTACCATTACAAGTACAAGCTTTTCAGTCCTGTTCTATTTGACTCCTGAAAACTTTCGTAATGTTTGATATTCCTCAAAATGTTCTGGAAAGGTCTGTGAGGATGGGACTGTATTCCGAATAGGATACGTTCCCCGGGCTTCTCGGACACTGGGAGTATTTACAGTAACACACCGGACAAACATCGCTGAGGGAAGTGCTTTTGTGAACACATTTGCAGGTGGAACAGAGTCTCTGGGGACTGGAGTGCCGACACTTGCACGTGCTACACAGCTCCTCCTCGTGCAGTTTACTGACAGGGCTGGAGGATCTGGGGAGGGATTCTAGGTACCCTGCAAGTGCAGTCGTTAATTAACTAATATAGATAGTACCCTGCAAGTGCAGTCGTTAATTAACTAATATAGATAGCACCCTGCAAGTGCAGTCGTTAATTAACTAATATAGATAGTACCCTGCAAGTGCAGTCGTTAATTAACTAATATAGATAGTACCCTGCAAGTGCAGTCGTTAATTAACTAATATAGATAGTACCCTGCAAGTGCAGTCGTTAATTAACTAATATAGATAGTACCCTGCAAGTGCAGTCGTTAATTAGCTAATATGGATAGTACCCTGCAAGTGCAGTCGTTAATTAGCTAATATGGATAGTACCCTGCAAGTGCAGTCGTTAATTAACTAATATAGATAGCACCCTGCAAGTGCGGTCGTTAATTAACTAATATAGATAGCACCCTGCAAATGCAGTCGTTAATTAACTAATATAGATAGGACCCTGCAAGTGCAGTCGTTAATTAACTAATATAGATAGTACCCTGCAAATGCAGTCGTTAATTAACTAATATAGATAGTACCCTGCAAGTGCAGTCGTTAATTAACTAATATAGATAGTACCCTGCAAGTGCAGTCGTTAATTAACTAATATAGATAGTACCCTGCAAGTGCAGTCGTTAATTAACTAATATAGATAGTACCCTGCAAGTGCAGTCGTTAATTAACTAATATAGATAGTACCCTGCAAGTGCAGTCGTTTATTAGCTAATATGGATAGTACCCTGCAAGTGCAGTCGTTAATTAACTAATATAGATAGTACCCTGCAAATGCAGTCGTTAATTAACTAATATAGATAGTACCCTGCAAGTGCAGTCGTTAATTAACTAATATAGATAGTACCCTGCAAGTGCAGTCGTTAATTAACTAATATAGATAGCACCCTGCAAATGCAGTCGTTAATTAACTAATATAGATAGCACCCTGCAAGTGCAGTCGTTAATTAACTAATATAGATAGGACCCTGCAAGTGCAGTCGTTAATTAACTAATATAGATAGTACCCTGCAAGTGCAGTCGTTAATTAGCTAATATGGATAGTACCCTGCAAGTGCAGTCGTTAATTAACTAATATAGATAGTACCCTGCAAGTGCAGTCGTTAATTAACTAATATAGATAGTACCCTGCAAGTGCAGTCGTTAATTAGCTAATATGGATAGTACCCTGCAAGTGCAGTCGTTAATTAACTAATATAGATAGTACCCTGCAAATGCAGTCGTTAATTAACTAATATAGATAGTACCCTGCAAGTGCAGTCGTTAATCAACTAATATAGATAGTACCCTGCAAGTGCAGTCGTTAATTAACTAATATAGATAGCACCCTGCAAATGCAGTCGTTAATTAACTAATATAGATAGTACCCTGCAAGTGCAGTCGTTAATTAACTAATATAGATAGTACCCTGCAAATGCAGTCGTTAATTAACTAATATAGATAGCACCCTGCAAGTGCAGTCGTTAATTAACTAATATAGATAGTACCCTGCAAGTGCAGTCGTTAATTAACTAATATAGATAGCACCCTGCAAATGCAGTCGTTAATTAACTAATATAGATAGCACCCTGCAAGTGCAGTCGTTAATTAACTAATATAGATAGCACCCTGCTGTATATTGCAACTATTTGCGTACTTCTGTAGACCCACCTGTTCCAGCTAAAGAGCAGTGGAGATCCTGTTTTTCCATCTCCAATCGTAACTTGTCCCTTCTCAATGACTTGTTTTCCTCCCTCAACTTACTTTTCTCTTTTTCTACTTCTCTAAATCTTTTTTCGGCTCTGTCTGATAATTATATATATTATTAAAAATAGGAAATTGGATGGTATCATTAATATGGAGCAGTGTGTCTAATTCTATTGCTTATGTTAATAAATAAGCACTCCTCTTATCAATAATAAGAATTAAGGATAGTAAGGTTGTGAAAACTTATTAAAAAGATACTATCAAATCTTGATTTTCTCACGAATATTATCTTTATGGCTTATAATAAATATATCCATACAAATTAAATTATTTTCAGGGAGCCGTATTCATAAACCAGCCAATTTTAATTAATTTTAATAATCCCGAGCAGGGGGTAAGGGGTTCATCCTGAGCATTAACGGTTTACCAACCATATAAGGTATTCAAGGTTGTATTTTCCGTGCTCAGCGCATCTATCTTACGGTTGAGCTCATCAATAACATCCAAACTTGTGGAGTGCCAATAACTCTTACTGTCTAGCAAACCTGCGGGTTGTTACAATAACTTTTACTGTCTAGCAAACCTGCGGGTTGTTACAATAACTTTTACTGTCTAGCAAACCTGCGGGTTGTTACAATAACTTTTACTGTCTAGCAAACCTGCGGGTTGTTACAATAAATCTTACTGTCTAGCAAACCTGCGGGTTGTTACAATAACTTTTACTGTCTAACAAACCTGCGAGTTGTTACAATAACTTTTACTGTCTAGCAAACCTGCGGGTTGTTACAATAACTTTTACTGTCTAGCAAACCTGCGGGTTGTTACAATAACTCTTACTGTCTAGCAAACCTGCGGGTTGTTACAATAACTCTTACTGTCTAGCAAACCTGTGGGTTGTTACAATAACTCTTACTGCCTAGCAAACCTGCGGGTTGTTACAATAACTCTTACTGTCTAACAAACCTGCGGGTTGTTACAATAACTCTTACTGTCTACCAAACCTGCGGGTTGTTACAATAACTCTTACTGTCTAGCAAACCTGCGGGTTGTTACAATAACTCTTACTGTCTAGCAAACCTGCGGGTTGTTACAATAACTTTTACTGTCTAGCAAACCTGCGGGTTGTTACAATAACTTTTACTGTCTAGCAAACCTGCGGGTTGTTACAATAAATCTTACTGTCTAGCAAACCTGCGGGTTGTTACAATAACTTTTACTGTCTAGCAAACCTGCGGGTTGTTACAATAAATCTTACTGTCTAGCAAACCTGCGGGTTGTTACAATAACTCTTACTGTCTAGCAAACCTGCGGGTTGTTACAATAACTCTTACTGTCTAACAAACCTGCGGGTTGTTACAATAACTCTTACTGTCTAACAAACCTGCGGGTTGTTACAATAACTCTTACTGTCTAACAAACCTGCGGGTTGTTACAATAACTCTTACTGTCTAACAAACCTGCGGGTTGTTACAATAACTCTTACTGTCTAGCAAACCTGCGGGTTGTTACAATAACTCTTACTGCCTAGCAAACCTGCGGGTTGTTACAATAACTCTTACTGTCTAACAAACCTGCGGGTTGTTACAATAACTCTTACTGTCTACCAAACCTGCGGGTTGTTACAATAACTCTTACTGTCTAGCAAACCTGCGGGTTGTTACAATAACTCTTACTGTCTAGCAAACCTGCGGGTTGTTACAATAACTTTTACTGTCTAGCAAACCTGCGGGTTGTTACAAATTTAATCAGTTTACAATATCCCCAATATTGCTATTAAAACACTATTGCTACTACTACTAATATTGCTATTACAGCACTACTGCTACTAGTAACAGCACTACTAGTAACACTACTACTGTAGTAGTGTTACTACTAGTGAGTAATACTAATATTATTGGGTCAGCACTAGAACTCACGTGATTCAGTCCGTGCCTCCTCCAAGCTGTTTTCCAATCTCCTCTTTTCACTTTCCCACATGATCTTCTCCACCCGGAGGTCTCTGTTTTCTTGCTCTACTCGCATTAAATTGTGCTCTAATCTTTCTATACAAAATGGTATGGTATTAACTGCCACATAGTTTACAATTAAGCCATTTATGTTAAACTTTTTTTCATAATATTTAAATTGTCTATTATTATCACTACTACTACTAGTCGCAGGAACCCGTGATACTATTAGTAGTATATCTATATCTATATTGACATGTGTTCATACAGTGGAGTGCTATCTTACTATATACAGGGGGGGGGGCAGAAGTCAGTACCCATACGTTACAGGGGGGGGCAGAAGTCAGGTACCCGGGGGGGGGGGGGGGGCAGAAGTTAGGGAACATGTTAGAGACTCCATTGTAACATATTGCAATAGGTCATTTAATCCGGAATATAATCTGAAAAGATAGTGCAAAACGGATTTAATATGACGAAGTTATCAAGCAGTTTGTTTATCTCGTTAGCAAAATTGATTGGGTACTCAAGGATTACCCAATTACGACACCGTAATTGGGCTCTCTGCACGATTCCCATAATGCGCATATAGCCTCAACCCAATCACCTGATCACACGTAATGAACAAACTCGTTATGCTTCATATCTCGGTCATCTGAGAAGCTAGAACTCTCATTTTTCAGGACAAACGTAATTTAAATGGCCAAACACCATTCCATAACATTTGGCTCGATCCGACTATCCAAAAGTCTTTTATCAGAGAAAATAAGAGAAATGTTAAAACAGTGTAAACAGTATCAAGTAGAGGAAGTTAAACTGGAGGACTTGATGAAGGGATAGGGATGTGCTTGCTAAACAACTAGTGCGTTCCTTAATAAGGAATCCTTATACACAATTATTAGAAATATGCACATGTTAATGCATATCAGTCAGATCTGATCGGTCTGCAGGACAGGCTTCTTGATTCTCAAAAAAGGGTTATTGAAGCTCAGTACTGGAGAGCATTCAGTTTGATGAAGATTTTACAGATGATCTCTCAAAAACAGTTCATGACTCAATCAGCTGGATTAAGAAAACGTACAGCAGCCAGTTTACAAGTTGCGAGCTGTCTCGGCCCTGTCTTCTCGTAGGAAACTCTTCAGACAGTAGCTAAACAGCTTGTAGTAGAGGAGGAGCTAAGTAGAAACATTGTGTTTCAATATCTTGACGAAAGCCCAGAATCGAAGCTAGTCGTTCGGGGAAGAAGATTAAAAGATCAGTACGTCCTGCTAAGGTAACTTTATCCAGCTGGTTCATTGTATAGCGATATCAGTAAAGTTAAGGGAACTTCGCAATTCTGAAAAGCACAAGACAATCTTCCTGTCACCCGATCGCACAGCAGAACAGAGAGCCGAACATGGCGAACTTGTGCAGTTGTGCTCAAGAATAAAGCAGTTGCAGAGCCCAACCGGCGACACTATTATATAAAGGGAGGGCAGATATATAACGTAGACTAGCCAGTAGACTAGCCAGTAGACTAGCCAGTAGACTAGCCAGTAGACTAGCCGGTAGACTAGCCAGTAGACTAGCCAATAGACTAGCCAGTAGACTAGCCAGTAGACTAGCCAATAGACTAGCCAGTAGACTAGCCAGTAGACTAGCCAGTAGACTAGCCAGTAGACTAGCCAATAAACTAGCCAGTAGACTAGCCAGTAGACTAGCCAGTAGACTAGCCAGTAGACTAGCCGGTAGACTAGCCAGTAGACTAGCCAGTAGACTAGCCAGTAGACTAGCCGGTAGACTAGCCAGTAGACTAGCCAGTAGACTAGCCAGTAGACTAGCCAATAAACTAGCCAGTAGACTAGCCAGTAGACTAGCCAGTAGACTAGCCAGTAGACTAGCCGGTAGACTAGCCAGTAGACTAGCCAGTAGACTAGCCAGTAGACTAGCCGGTAGACTAGCCGGTAGACTAGCCAGTAGACTAGCCAGTAGACTAGCCAGTAAACTAGCCAGTAGACTAGCCAGTAAACTAGCCAGTAGACTAGCCAGTAGACTAGCCAGTAGACTAGCCAGTAGACTAGCCAGTAGACTAGCCAGTAGACTAGCCAGTAGACTAGCCGGTAGACTAGCCGGTAGACTAGCCAGTAGACTAGCCAGTAGACTAGCCAGTAAACTAGCCAGTAGACTAGCCAGTAAACTAGCCAGTAGACTAGCCAGTAGACTAGCCAGTAGACTAGCCAGTAGACTAGCCAGTAGACTAGCCAGTAGACTAGCCAGTAGACTAGCCAGTAGACTAGCCAGTAGACTAGCCAGTAGAGTAGCCAGTAGACTAGCCAGTAGACTAGCCAGTAGACTAGCCAGTAGACTAGCCAATAGACTAGCCAGTAGACTAGCCAGTAGACTAGCCAGTAGACTAGCCAGTAAACTAGCCAGTAGACTAGCCAGTAGACTAGCCAGTAGACTAGCCAGTAGACTAGCCGGTAGACTAGCCAGTAGACTAGCCGGTAGACTAGCCAGTAGACTAGCCGGTAGACTAGCCAGTAGACTAGCCAGTAGACTAGCCAGTAGACTAACCAGTAAACTAGCCAGTAGACTAGCCAGTAAACTAGCCAGTAGACTAGCCAGTAGACTAGCCAGTAGACTAGCCAGTAGACTAGCCGGTAGACTAGCCAGTAGACTAGCCGGTAGACTAGCCAGTAGACTAGCCGGTAGACTAGCCAGTAGACTAGCCAGTAGACTAGCCGGTAGACTAGCCAGTAGACTAGCCAGTAGACTAGCCGGTAGACTAGCCGGTAGACTAGCCAGTAGACTAGCCGGTAGACTAGCCAGTAGACTAGCCGGTAGACTAGCCAGTAGACTAGCCGGTAGACTAGCCAGTAGACTAGCCAGTAGACTAGCCAGTAGACTAGCCGGTAGACTAGCCAGTAGACTAGCCGGTAGACTAGCCAGTAGACTAGCCGGTAGACTAGCCAGTAGACTAGCCGGTAGACTAGCCAGTAGACTAGCCGGTAGACTAGCCAGTAGACTAACCAGTAGACTAGCCAGTAGACTAGCCGGTAGACTAGCCAGTAGACTAGCCGGTAGACTAGCCAGTAGACTAGCCAGTAGACTAGCCAGTAGACTAGCCGGTAGACTAGCCAGTAGACTAGCCGGTAGACTAGCCAGTAGACTAGCCGGTAGACTAGCCAGTAGACTAGCCGGTAGACTAGCCAGTAGAATAGCCAGTAGACTAGCCAGTAGACTAGCCAGTAGACTAGCCAGTAGACTAGCCAGTAGACTAGCCAGTAGACTAGCCAGTAGACTAGCCAGTAGACTAGCCAGTAGACTAGCCAGTAGACTAGCCAGTAGACTAGCCAGTAGACTAGCCAGTAGACTAGCCAGTAGACTAGCCAGTAGACTAGCCAGTAGACTAGCCAGTAGACTAGCCAGTAGACTAGCCAGTAGACTAGCCAGTAGACTAGCCAGTAGACTAGCTAGTAGAATAGCCAGTAGACTAGCCAGTAGACTAGCCAGTAGACTAGCCAGTAGATGTAAAATGTACTGGACAGTTTTAAACTAGATCTAAATGTAAACTCACAAAAATGCAATAATCATTAAGCATAATGTTGTAGTGTATTTCTAAAAGTCTAAAGACAGAGTGTTGCATGGTGGTACTATTGCTAGATGCATCAATACGACAATGAATGCTACTAAATTTGCTATTGTGTTTCGGATCTGCCACCCGGAGCATAGGTCCGGGCACAACAGGGGGGCAGCTTTAGTCCCATTATTGGGGGGGGGGGGGGGGGGGGGGGGGCAGCTGTATCACCATTATTGGGGGGCAGCTTTAGTCTCATTATTGGGGGGGCAGCTGTAGTCCCATTATTGGGGGGCAGCTGTAGTCCCATTATTGGGGGGCAGCTGTAGTCCCATTATTGGGGGGCAGCTGTAGTCCCATTATTGGGGGGGGGGCAGCTGTATCACCATTATTGGGGGGGCAGCTGTAGTCCCATTATTGGGGGGGGGGGGGGGGGGGGCAGCTGTATCACCATTATTGGGGGGCAGCTGTACTCCCATTATTGGGGGGGGGGGGGGGCAGCTGATTCACCATTATTGGGGGGCAGCTGTAGTCCCATTATTGGGGGGGGGGGGGGCAGCTGTATCACCATTATTGGGGGTAGCTATAGGGGGGGGGGGTTGCAGTAGTGCCATTATTATATTATATTATTAGCATTAATATAAGACTTTAACGTTAATTGGATAACAGATCAATTAGCAGTTTGCTGAAGCTTTCACCTATTATTTTTTCTAGAGATTCCTTTTCCATTTTAAGGTCGTTTATCATATCCCTGCACTCTTCCATAACTGTTTCACTTTTTGAGACATTCAGTTTTAGTTTATTGACGCAACCTGACAGACGAATTTTAAGACTAAGCTGTACTATGAAACCAATCGAAATCTTCTCAATTGCAGGAATTTGAAATGCTTGGATTAAAAACTGTTTGTAGGGCAAACCTTCTAGCCGAATATTTTCGACCTCACCATAAGTCAAATTATTTTGCAGCTCGGCAATTTTTTCGATGAGCCTTTTTATTAGGTCATCCTGGCTGTTCTTTAGGTTAACTTCCTGAGACAAAGAATGAATAACAAAACACGTAACATAGTTCAGACATAGTAGTAGCTAGTAGTAGCACTATCTGTACTAACTGTCAAAATTACAGGCTGGTTTCATCTAATATCTAGATAAGTTACAAGAATTAGTTACCTTATTTTGTGTCACATCGTTGCAAATACACTGATCAGACTCGACACTGTTAGAATGTTTCTCTCCCTGTTGTTCGGGAACTGGGTGTATCTCTCCCTGTTGTTCGGGAACTGGGTGTTTCTCTCCCTGTTGTTCGGGAACTGGGTGTTTCTCTCCCTGTTGTTCGGGAACTGGGTGACTCTCTTCCTGTTGTTCGGGAACTGCGTGTATCTTTGGTTCAGGTTCTTGAGTTTCAGACTTTGGTTCCTCGTCCTTGCTCTCATTCAAACCCCCTGCCTCTTCTATAGCTGACAAATCCCAAGACTCGTCCAGTTTCTTGGGCTTGAAATTCGTACTTTTCATTTCTTCAATGAGTGTTGGCTTGGCTGTGTTTCTTCCAGCCGCATAAGTCCTAGATAAGTAGAATGTTAAACCTACACCCTTATAACCGCTGGCTATATATTTATATACTACTTAACATCAAACAAAAGTGAATCTAGATGAATATTGAATAACACGTGAGCAGACAATGTTATCCAATATGTTTACTCTCTGTAATGGTTTTTGCAAGGACTCACCAGAAAGTTTGAGCGGACGCGAATTTTACTGGATCTATGGAAGACACTCGCCGTGTGGGCATTTCTCTGTTTAACAATTACACACAAAACTTAGAAAATCACGAAAGATAAGACTAAACTAGTGCTGAGTATAAACAGATACTGAAACTGTTCTATTAATAGATTAACGCTCTGTTGCTATACGACGCAAATACAAATCCCAGTGTGTCGCTAATCCAACATAATAAGGATTTAATTAGGACCGGGCACACAAGGACCGGGCACACAATGGGGCTCCTGTGCAATAAAATAATTGTATAATTTAATTCTGGGGAATACGACTAACTATCGATTGTAAGAATACATTTAAATTTGCAGGGGGTGCCACCTTAAACCGATCATATCGTCCTATGCTATATAGAGGGGGGTGCCACCTTAAACCGATCATATATAGAAATAATATAGAAATAAAGTCATGGGTTCCTCACCACTTAATAAATTCCAAACCTGATAGATGAAGAGATAAGCGATAGGGTAGTAGTACTACTACTACTAGATAGGGTTCACTAGCTTGAACCCTTGCCAACGCTACAAATATGTTATGAAATCCTTAAATTCCTTCTAATGTAAAATTGTGGTGTGGCTCAATATCATTAGTATTTTGCATTGCAATGTAGTAGAGTAATAGAGCGATATAAGAAGGAATAAAGAACTGCATTTAGAGTACTCCAGACAAGATTAATACTGAAAAGAGACTAAGTAAACGTAGAGAAAGTAAGTGAGCAAACCATCACTAGAAAGCGTGATGAGCAAGAGAGAAATATACAGACACTACACTTCGTTTGCATATATGTATATATTACGCAGCTCCTATGTCTGGTTCAAATGTTTGTAACTGTAGTACTACTAACTGTGTATAGAGAATGAGACTCTGAAAAACAAAATGCAGCCTGCATCATACAATGGAGATAATTGTTAATTATTAATTAAACAAGGTAATTAACGAAGCAAGATCTGTAATCTATATATCCTCTATATAAGATCTGTATAAACATGCTAGGGTGTAGAGATGACAGCCTCTTCTGTTTCGTGAGATCACGAAGCAGAAGGAAACTCTGAACTAGTCGGTCCCTTATACCGACTAGTATTACTTGTTATACTCGCCACGCAGCCAGACAGTTGGCTTTCCAAATTCACGTTTGTTTTGATATCCTCATCCTGGACGCCAGTGCTTCCTTAAAAACGCCCTAATTGACAGACGGTTCGAACTTGCTATAAACTGAAAAAATTTCTTGGAATGCTATCATATTTAGTAGTAGTAGTAGTAGTAGTAGTAGTAGTAGTAGTAGTAGTAGTAGTAGTAGTAGTAGTAGTAGTAGTAGTAGTAGTAGTAGTAGTAGTAGTAGTAGTAGTAGTAGTAGTAGTAGTAGTAGTAGTAGTAGTAGTAGTAGTAGTAGTAGTAGTAGTAGTAGTAGTAGTAGTAGTAGTAGTAGTAGTAGTAGTAGTAGTAGTAGTAGTAGTAGTAGTAGTAGTAGTAGTAGTAGTAGTAGTAGTAGTAGTAGTAGTAGTAGTAGTAGTAGTAGTAGTAGTAGTAGTAGTAGTAGTAGTAGTAGTAGTAGTAGTAGTAGTAGTAGTAGTAGTAGTAGTAGTAGTAGTAGTAGTAGTAGTAGTAGTAGTAGTAGTAGTAGTAGTAGTAGTAGTAGTAGTAGTAGTAGTAGTAGTAGTAGTAGTAGTAGTAGTAGTAGTAGTAGTAGTAGTAGTAGTAGTAGTAGTAGTAGTAGTAGTAGTAGTAGTAGTAGTAGTAGTAGTAGTAGTAGTAGTAGTAGTAGTAGTAGTAGTAGTAGTAGTAGTAGTAGTAGTAGTAGTAGTAGTAGTAGTAGTAGTAGTAGTAGTAGTAGTAGTAGTAGTAGTAGTAGTAGTAGTAGTAGTAGTAGTAGTAGTAGTAGTAGTAGTAGTAGTAGTAGTAGTAGTAGTAGTAGTAGTAGTAGTAGTAGTAGTAGTAGTAGTAGTAGTAGTAGTAGTAGTAGTAGTAGTAGTAGTAGTAGTAGTAGTAGTAGTAGTAGTAGTAGTAGTAGTAGTAGTAGTAGTAGTAGTAGTAGTAGTAGTAGTAGTAGTAGTAGTAGTAGTAGTAGTAGTAGTAGTAGTAGTAGTAGTAGTAGTAGTAGTAGTAGTAGTAGTAGTAGTAGTAGTAGTAGTAGTAGTAGTAGTAGTAGTAGTAGTAGTAGTAGTAGTAGTAGTAGTAGTAGTAGTAGTAGTAGTAGTAGTAGTAGTAGTAGTAGTAGTAGTAGTAGTAGTAGTAGTAGTAGTAGTAGTAGTAGTAGTAGTAGTAGTAGTAGTAGTAGTAGTAGTAGTAGTAGTAGTAGTAGTAGTAGTAGTAGTAGTAGTAGTAGTAGTAGTAGTAGTAGTAGTAGTAGTAGTAGTAGTAGTAGTAGTAGTAGTAGTAGTAGTAGTAGTAGTAGTAGTAGTAGTAGTAGTAGTAGTAGTAGTAGTAGTAGTAGTAGTAGTAGTAGTAGTAGTAGTAGTAGTAGTAGTAGTAGTAGTAGTAGTAGTAGTAGTAGTAGTAGTAGTAGTAGTAGTAGTAGTAGTAGTAGTAGTAGTAGTAGTAGTAGTAGTAGTAGTAGTAGTAGTAGTAGTAGTAGTAGTAGTAGTAGTAGTTGCAGTAGTAGTAGTAGTAGTAGTAGTAGTAGTAGTAGTAGTAATAAACAAAGATTGTGGGCTTTTTGAAGGGGAGGCTATAAAATGGCCAAATATAACGTAAACGACCCAATAATAATATTAAACGTAGAATGAAACTACTTAAAACTTATACAGATTCATGGTATCCTGTTTCAAAACGCTTGCTCCTGATTTTTAGCAACAATATCGACTGACCCCACGACGTTGTAATATAATTGTGGGTAGGCAATCACTTGATCTATAAGTTTTGAACGGTAGTTTGTAAAAATAATTTTTTTCAAGGTAATACTAACCTTCAAAGGTTGCCATCAAATTATTTGCGTTGACAGTAATAAACATTTTGAATCGGGGGATCAAAGCGTAACTTTTTGATTGCAGATAAATGATGTGGATGCGGATGTTGTACAATGTACATTAACGTCATCTTAAATCTATTTTAAATGGAGTATTATACAGTAGTTCAACTATATAATTCAACTATATAATTGCATATTCAGTATTCACTATTCACCTACAAGCACAACTTCTTGGCGTGATAAGGTACATCTTTGAATGGTAGTAATAGTATGGTCTTTCAGCGACACAGCAATATCCCTTTCATGGTAGTCCCCGGCTTATGACGGGTTCATAGCAGTATCAAACATGTTTTATGGGCCCAAACATTCTACGCTCCTACTATGCAATTACTAGCCTCTGGACTAACTCCCAATCATCTGTCCATGTAATGGTGTTTCTGGACAGATAGATGGTGTATGATGCCCTCATGTTAATTTCAGCGATCTTCATGCACTAGGCCTTTTTCTCTTTAGTGTTTACGTTCAGGTGGTTCATAAAGGTTTGGAGGCCGCAGTTGTAAATGCCTCGAACTCGAACTTCTACTGTCTGGAGCTTGCAAGCCCATCCGTTGGCTCCTATCTCTTCTGTCAGCTGCTGATATCTCATTTTCTTTTTTATCTTGATCGCCAAAGTTCTCCTCATTCAGATGCACTTTCTTCGCTTTATCTGAATAGACATCTGGTCTCAGTGGTATTACCCTATAGTACAGACAGATCCGTCTGAAAAAATCGATCTGCTGACACACGAAGCTTTCAGAGGATTTTTAACGTTTTTGAGTCCCATTAGGTGCCCTTTATGGCTGACCAACTTTTCCAAACTTTTCCACGTGTCTTAAGGCCACTTTTTGCCACTTTACCACTTTTTACCACCTTTCTTGTTTGTCGAATATCTTTAGTTATTAACATCGTAAAAGGTTGCAGATCAATCGAGTGTGTTCATATTATCAGGAAGAAAAACTTTTGTCCAAGCAATTTTTACGTCAGATCATAAGTTAATTGGATAATTATCAATTAACTAATTAGAAAAATTCTAAAAAATTTTTATTGGCTCAAAATGATCGGAATAGCTTAAAACACGGAGAAAAGTAGTTTTTAGAAAAAATTTGAAAATTTTTCACTCACATTTTTTTTCGAGACTTGCAAAAATTCAAAATATTTTTTCCGCCAAAAGTGATCAAATTGCATGAAACGCGGAGAAAAATGATTTTCAAAAACACATTTAACGAGACCTTCGCGAGGCTGGGGTCAGACGGAGCTCCTTTAGCGATTCTTTGGAATGAGTCAATCGCAGGAAGGAAAGATGAGAATGTGTCCTCGACTTGGATAAGGGCAATAAAACATTTTGCCAGTTGGCAAGATTGGTGGTAGCAGGGAGATCATTTTTTGGGCAGACAATTGCTCTGCTCAAAACAAGTGTTGGACTTTATTTACTGCCCTATGTTCAATTATCAACAGCCCAGATGTTGACCTGGACAAGATAACGGTCAAGTATCTAGAGCCAGTGCACACCTTTATGAGTGCAGACTCATTCCACCATAAAGTGGAGTTGTCCATTTACTCCATTAAACAATCAGGCCAGGTCAACTTCATGATTATAAGGACTTTGTTCAGGCAGTTGAATAGGTGGGTACTGCGATAAGCATGAACTGCACAGACTTTGAATCGTGGCCAAGGTCCTACGGAACAAACAACTAACAAACTAAAGATGTTAAAATTGTAAGTTTCCAGCGTGGGTCTGTAGAAATGGAATGGAAAACAAATCATGACGAGGTTTCCTTTCATTTCACTCCATTTCTCAGACAAAAAGACGAGAGACTCATTTCCATAGGTAGTACAGACAGATCCGTCTGAAAAAATCGATCTGCTGACACACGAAGCTTTCAGAGGATTTTTAACGTTTTTGAGTCCCATTAGGTGCCCTTTATGGCTGACCAACTTTACCAAAATTTTCCACGTGTCTTAAGGCCACTTTTTGCCACTTTACCACTTTTTACCACCTTTCTTGTTTGTCGAATATCTTTAGTTATTAACATCGTAAAAGGTTGCAGATCAATCGAGTGTGTTCATATTATCAGGAAGAAAAACTTTTGTCCAAGCAATTTTTACGTCAGA